GCTGAGTTGTAGTTAACTTGTAATATATTCACACATTACTATAATACATGATAGGGTTGTGTGCTTACAGCCCAAGTTGCATTTCCAAAAATTGTTGTTGCATTCTTGTGGTGACTAAGAACGGTTGGGAAGTGTGTAGGGGGTGCTGACCCCTTAGGAGTCACTTCAACATCCCAAAATGGAACATTGGCGTTTATTGGAGGCACCAAGTATCCAAGTCAGAGTGCTGAGTTATTGTTGAAGTGTTGCAAGTAATTGTGGTTGTTTTGGCAAGCCACTTGTTGCTGGACCCCATGCTGAGGTCATTTAAAGTTGTGCTTTACATAGTGTGCATTCATAACAAGTGTTGGACAAGCCCAGAATCATGTTGTGAAGTTGGCAGACAGGTTGTCTGCCATTATGGAATTCCGTGTTGCTAGTTTCTGAATACCCGAAACTTGCCGAGTCTATTGCAAACTTTACTGGTGATAGCAAGCGAGATTAAGTGGGCACCACAGTGACCGTTGTTGCGCATATAATTGATTTGAAAGCAGAAAAGTTGATTACAATTGATAGTTACATTCCCTTTGAGTTCCCCGGTGTCCATTCAGTAAAGCTCTGAAAAACCAATGCCGGTCATAGCATGAGCCAGGCTGAGGAAAGTCTCAAAGAACTGAACAAGGAAATTAGGTTCCAAACTCCTGCCGCAAAATTGCATCATCACAGTGTCCTCCAGCTCCTGTGAAGGCTGACCTGCAGAAAAGCACACAGGAAGCTCAGAGGCAGTCGCTGACTCGGAATCAGACTCACCAATTGCGAAAGAGCTGGAAAGAGCTGTCTTCAAGAGTTGCTGATAGCTGAGTTGTGCAAAGTGCACACAGAATAAGAAAAAACTGAAGTAAAAGTGTGTGCTGATAATGTGTTGGATAAGTGTGTTCGCAAATACCTACCAACTGGTCCACATTTGAAAGCAGTTGGTATAAATACCTACCAACTGGTCCAGATTTGGAAAGCAGTTGGCGTTGCCCTGCTGACGTTGATCTGTGTGAATCTATTTGCCTACGGTCCTATATTGGCAGCGAGAGTTGCAAGGCTTATTTAAAGAGTGTGTATATTGGTTTGGTGTGTCTTGTGCTCATTGTTGGTGTGTTTTGTGTTCATATTCATGTGCAGAGAATCACTGCAGCTGGCCAATTTGGCTAAAGAAATTTGCCCACCGCATGCCCCAGGCCGCGGCGTAGTCGCCACAGCGGTACGATGGTTGGCGTGTCCTTGCCATTGAGTTTCATTTGGAATTCTGATCGTGTAAGGCGTGGTCAGATTAGGCAGGAAAGGAGCACCGAACCCATCACATCACAGCCTGTGACGGGTGTGGTCGCTGGCCCAGTCAGCAGTCCTTGTCATTTCCAGTTGATCTGTGCCCTTGTAGCTGGATTAGCAATCGGTTGTTGTGTGTCACTAGGATCCCTTCGCATTGGGATCTGGGAGGAGCACGTGCTTTGATCCAAGCACACACCTGGCCGTGACTCACCAGCCATATTTGGCGGTCACACATGATGGCCATTCGACAGATTGTTACCAACGCTCAGATGCTGTCCATGCCATTGTCTGACTTGCCTTCAGGTGTTTTGTCACTCACTCAGTTGCCATGCGTTGGTCACGTGTGACTTTGATCTTTGACTGAAGCAGCAACATGACGGCGAAGTTAGTACAGCGGCATCCTCCGGCACACTTTGCAAGACAACACGAAAAAGCGCAGGTGCCATAAGGACATGGGCACTAGCCATTTAGCTCGCAACCTTCATGGAAACCGCTGGGCGACATTTGGCAGAGTCCTCCGCCGCGTCAAGCGGTTCTTCCCACGATCGGTGTCCTGCCTCTCCCCAACGCCTGCGACTCCTCCTACCAGCGGCGCCCTTCAGCCATTCAAGGGTCATTTTCCGGGCGACAGCGTGGCGGGAGGATGCAATGGCCTGCCACCGTGGGCCGCCGGCCCGTGCTCCAGGTCAGCCCCGCGGTCCACCGACGCAGCCAGCGGTCAGCTCCATGACTCAATGGCCGGCCCCAGCGCGCCTACTCATGCAAATCACTCCACTCAACTCCCGCCGGGTGGCGCTGGGGGTGGGCTGGGCTGCCGGGCAGGAAAGAAAGTACCCGGAGGCCAGAAACTCGGGAGGCGTTGGCAGAGAGCGGGAGGGGTGCAGAGGAGCCGCGGGAGCGGCGGCAAATGAGCCGGAGGAGGGCCGGCTGAAGGGACGAATCGAACGGGGAAGGGCCCGGGAACTTTTGGCGTGTTATGGTTTGGGGGTTGGAGGGCGCGGTGAGATCTGCCGGGGCCCGCGGGACGGATTCCTGGGCGGCGGGGAGGGCCAATGCGCTGCGGCTGGCTCTGATGGCGTGCTGCGCCGTCCTGGCGTCCGCTCTGGGCTGGGGCGTGGTGGCCGCGAGTGAGGGTGGCAGCGGCGACGGGGCGCCCCGCGCGGGCGGCACGGTCACCCTGACATCCCTTCTGGCGGTTCTGGCCGCGGAGCTGGCCGTTGCCGTCCAAATGAGTTTCCGGCGGGCGAGAAAACGACTGGGCAGGGCGGCGCAGCGCGAGGCACAGCCCAGGTCACGACCCAGATTCCGCCACACCCCCCCCGACCCGGACACTTTCGACGATCGGCTCATGCGGGCGCTGGCCAAGGCGAGGGGGGAGTGGCGGGGTTGGGAGGCCACCGAGCTCGAGGAGCAGCGGCGGGAGGCCGAACGCAGGGCGCGGCGCCGCCGGCGCCGCGCCGCGGACAGGCGGGTGGTGAGCGCGGTGCGCGAGACGGAGCGGCGGTGGCTCCGGGAGGATCGGCGGTGGCGGCGACGGCGGGGCGCGGAGGTGTGGGAGACGCACTGCCACAAGCGCGGCTCCGGGACCGTCATCGGAATCACGCGGATGTTCGTCGCTGACGGCGAGGGGGGCCGGGAACGCCTGATTGGATGTTCGCGGCCGGGCACGCCCACCGGGTTACCGGTTGCCGTCTGCGACTTGAAGCGCGATTCGGAGAGGTCGGCATTCGAGGGTTGGAGGGACACCGCGGGCGCTGATCCGCCTGGACTGGCCGTTTGCTGGAATGGCGCTGCGGAGCCTGCTGGGTGCGGGGAGCGGGGTGACGAGGTGGCTGGCTTGGTGGGGGCGGTGAGCGTCCACCAGCAGGGGTGGTCATCCGAGGACGACCCGGGAGCGTGGCTGGTTGGCTAGGCCGCGGGTTTCTTTTTGTTGCAGAAATGGAACAGCCGATCCACGTGCACCAGGGTGCGCGTCGGGTTGCGGCAGTGGGGGAACGCACTGGGAGCTGCAACGCCTGCCCTATGGGTACACACCGTTGATGGTTGCAGAAGAAGGGAGAGTAGGTTCTCCGCACTCGCTACAAAGGAACGAAATTTGTGTAGGCCGGGGCCGGGGTGTGTGTATTCGCGAGAGGTTCGATGGTTGCAGGAGGGCATTCCGGCCTTTTCTATGCCTTTTTTCTGTCGCTTTATTGGCATTGAGAATATGCGAGAATATGGTCGAGAAGACAGATGTTCAAAATGAATGGGTTCGAATGACGCCAAGATTATTGGAATAATATGCAGGATGGTGGCTCATGTTGTATTTTTCCCCGTGGCACCGAGATTCTTGTAAGATTTGGAGCCACGAAATAATGTTGCTTGTGGAGCCATTCATTGAAGGCTGCCTTGGATTTCATTACCTTGCATGCTACACGATATATGTACCTGGCATCAGGTACACTGATAGATGGTTGGTCATTCCTTGCACTCAACAGTTGGTCGATGGCGATGGAAGCATGCTTTCTGTGTGAAAATGGCACCCTTGCACTCTGCAGGCATTTCAGTCTGGAGTAAACACATGTCCATGTCCATGTAGTTTAGTCTTTAGTAACTCATGCCCATATCGGATTGGGCAGAACACAGGTTGCATACTGTCATTCATGCAAATGTCAGGGCAGTTGTGTGTGTTCCTGTTGAAGGGCAGGCAATTTTGGGGCCTGTCCTCCTGGCAACACGTGCACGCCTCAGTGAGTGAGGCCAAGGTCAATCAATGTGCAGCAAATCTTTCGGCCTGGAGACCCTGAATCGCTTTTCACGGGCATTTCACCATGCTTGAGCATCTGGAGTTCACATCCTGCCAGCATAACAAACTCCCAGAAGATGCCTGTCAGGGGTGGGACAACCACAACCATCCCTGCACATGCGTTGGTGAGCGCCGGGGATGCCTCTCCGTTTCATGCCCCCTGCCCCCTCTCAGAGGTGTATCACATGGAAATACCTATCATCTGGCGTGGCTATATTTTGCCCACGTTGTGACGTATGCTGACATTGCAGCACGCAGGGCAAGCATTCTGTGAGCCACGCATGCTGTTCCCTGGATGCGCTGATATGCCATATTGCATCCAGACCGAGTAGAGCTGGGGGACGGTCACACACAGTGTCCACAAGCTGCGAAACCAAAGGGCGCAGCTGCCCTCACCACGGTACTGAAACTTCATTTGAGTTAAAAACGGGCGCCCTTCGGCGCACATCCGCCATCAGCCACTACAAAGTACATTCAGAGCGCACGTCCTGCACTGCCTTGATCCGAACAAACTCCTACCAAGAATAGACGGCGTCCTGCATTATTTTGCATAGACTCTCCAATCTCTCATGCTCATCCGCTCGACCCCGTCCAGGGCCCGCACTCCCGGGGCCTCGAGTTCCTATCCCACCTATCAGGGTCCTACGCAGTTCCTAACCTATTCCCCCACCAACACTGCCCCCGACAGCCAACAAACCCCGCCGCAAAGACACCGCCAGCAGCAAATCAGACGTCCGCCTTTGTCGCCCGTTTCTTGAGGCCCTGCAGCCACTTCACCCAGGGGCTGCACTGGCTGCCGAGGACGCCCGCCCCTTGCCCGACGTCACCCGAAGAACCCGCACCCCCGCATCCATTCTCAGACCAATCCGCACCTTGGCTTCGTGCACGGCAGCCCTGCCCCACTCCCCGGTACCCCCTAAGTCGTCAGAATGACGTCCGCGGGCATCGGCTGTGCGGCTGCCTGGCAATCCGACTGCCCGGCGGCCGCCCGGAACTCCTCGATCCCCACGCCGGCGTTGCACAGGTTGGCGAAGGCGCGCGTGTGCTTCATGCCATAGTCGTCCAGCCGCCCGCATCGCTCCCGCCAGGCGGCCACCAGCGCCCTCAGGCAGTCCCAGTCCTCCAAGAGTGCGCCCGCAGGGTCCCCAATCCTGTCATTCACTATCATCGACACCAGCGCCTCGCCGGTGGGATCGGCCCCCTCACCGACGGCCCCGGTAGCGACCAGAAACCTCACCGTGGCCTCCACGGACCTGTCCACCCTGTGGCGGGCCTCGAGCGCCGATCGCAGATCGTCCAGCTCCCTTCCTCCGTTCTCTCCGTTGGCCTCCGCCTTGGCCACGCGGTGCATCAGATGCACCAGCAGGCCGTCCCTCTGCGGCGCATGGATCCACCCATCACCCCCCGCTTCCGACCGATGCGCCACCTCAGCGCCCTCAGCCTCGACCTTAGGCGGCAGCGCGTAGGGCCCCATGAAGTCGCCCACGGGGTACTCATCCAGCTTCTGCTCCCCGAACCGCATCACGTGGCTGCCAAAGGTGAAGGTGCCGTTGTTGGAGGTGCGGGCCCGCACGGCCCTGTACTGGCTCCCCAGCGTCTCGTCGGATATGCTCTCGTCCTCCGTGTCCTCGATCCACGCCACGCTAAACAGGTCGCCCATGCAGGTGCCCAGGGCGGTGGGCTCGGCCCCCGGCATCTGGCCTGCCGCCGTCACGGCCGCAAGGGCCTCAGGATCCGGGCAGTAAGTCGCCCAAGAACTCTCCACGGAGTTGGAGGCCGTCATGACGTACACGCCCATATCCGGGTTCAGTATGCCCTGGAACATGGATGCCGATTCGCAGGCCTCGATGTACATCACCAGCTCCTTGAAGGCGTTGGCCTGCGCCATGGTGTTCAGCGTGGCGTTGAGGGCGTCCGCGTAGATGAAGTCGTCGGTGGGCATGCCCAGGATGCCGTCCGCGCCGTGGTCGGAGTAGTAGACGAAGATGCGGTCGCAGGACGTTGAGTTCACGACCCGGCCGCTGCCGACGCCCGCCACGGCCTCCGCGTTGCCGGACAGGACGGCCAGGACGGTAGCGGGGGTGATGTCGTCACCGGTGTAGTCTTTCGCGCAGCCCGGGTAGACGTCGTTGCCGCCTGCGAGCAGACCGCAACAATCAGGCCAGGGATCGCGGCGTCCAGCAAATAGCGCAAGACCACAGCTTGCCATTGGGGATATTGTGTGCGTGGTCACCCCGCACCCCCGAAACTGGGAACAGTTGCCTGAACACATGACAAGACACGGCTGCGGAACAGCCGCGGCCAACCCGGGCTTGCTGTGGGAACCGAAGGCCAGCGCCCGCAGGTCGCATCCACATCCAGGACAGGGTCGCGAAGCGGATGGGCAGCGCCGTCAGTTCCGGTGCTGCGCGGCACAAGCGTCGGACGGGAACCGTTGCGCCCCGGCCGGAAGCCCTCGGCTGCCGTCGTAATGGCACGACCAAGGGATCCTTGCGTCGGGCCTGGAGATCCCTTCCAGCCACGGCCATTAGTAACAGACACCATCTGTCGCCGGCGTGAGCCGACTGCCAATGGCGTCGTAGATTGGTCTGACAAACCCAATGTACAGCTGGGAATCCATGCGGATGGATTCGGATCCGGGGAGGCCATGCCAATGACAAGGCGGCCAACAGGAGTCTGCCACAACATGGCACCAGCTGCAGAGACGCATGTACAGTCGCTATGGAGCAGACTCGTGAGCCATGAGCAATTAAGCATTTTTGGGAGCAGCTCGGTAGCGAGTTAGGGTCTGAGCGATGCGCGAACAACATCTTTAGCAGTGCTTGACCGAGAAAATAGGATCTCTACACTGTTGGAACCGCTGTACATGGCGTTCTCCGCCTTCATCAACTTCAGTTCACATTTGTTGCGAACAGCTCAGTCAGCTAGTCATCCTCCTCAACAAGGCCAACGAATATAACGTGACGGATTTCACGAGTATAGCCTCATCGATTCGCCCCAACAAACCAGCTTCTTCATAATAGGGTCGAAACTTCACTTGCTCACAGGTTCAAAAGGGGTACTTTGGGCCACAGCATATTGCCACACCATATTGTAGTAGTTTGTCAGCAGGGAACATATGTGTATGTGCCAGAGACTGAGATTTCTCCCCTGCTGCATCTAATAGACTTCCAGCCGATGTAGGACAGGGCTATTTGCTGACCTAAGACTAGCATCCCCACCCTGGATGGCATCAAATTAGACTGCTCCAGTGGACAAGTGTGGGATCGGGTCAAGCACTGCTCACAGCCACAGCTCAAACCAGATGATGTGGGATGGCAGAGATATGCATAAAGCAGGCTCAACAGTCCAATAGGCATTTCTGCTATTTGGCCTCCATGTGCCACGCGTGCACACCACTACAACTGCCACCCCTGCACAGAAAATTACCTGCCATGAATGCACAACGTGGTTTGTGCCCCCCTCACCTGGCTTGTTATATATTTTTCCTGGGTACGGATTGTTGGGATCGCCGGCGATGTCATCGTACACCATGACAATGATATGGTCGTCTGCCAAGCCGTTGGCCTTCAGAACCTGGTAGGCATGGCACACATCGGCCTGATGGCGGTAATTCCACCAGCCTTGGGACCCCGCGATCAACAGCGCCCAATGGTACTTCTTCGCTTCCAGCTCATCGGACAGTGACATTTCCTGGGTTGGCTCCCCGATCGTTGGGCGGGCAGCATCCACTGAACCAGCAGCACGAAGCAAAAACATTGAGGCGACCAACTACCTTATGGTTTGCTGCAGAATGAACAGAAGCTGGCAGAATTGGGTCCAAGCCATGCAAAAGCTGTGCACAGGCCATGAGGAGACTTGAGGGTGCTCTATCAAACGTGTTCACCAATCACGCATCCTGCACTCTGAGGCTGCAGAAAAAGAGGTGTGCAGAGTTTGACGAGCAGTGCCTCCGGCCGGAGAGGAAAATGGCTGGTGCTGCAGGCGGAAGGGCCTAGGGCCACCAACTAGGGCTAAAAGTTGGCCATCAACGAGCTGGCAGGCGGCAGACGATCGAGCTAAAGTGGTGACCTCCTGATTGGACAATTACCGAACATATCGTGCAGGGAAGGACCGTCACAGTTTCTAGGGCTGTTGACCAAGTCCACATTATTTTAGTGGGCAGATAATTCCCACACAGCACGCGTTCTGCTCTGTTCCAGCGGACCGGCTTTTCCAATCCCTCCTGAGAACTTCCACACTTGCCCCGATCGCTCACGGGGGGACGAACCAAAACGCACCACCGCCAAAGCCGCAATCCTGACGGGCGAAAACGCACAGCAGCACACGCGCCCAAATGGGCCGCCCTGCGCGGGCGTCCGCGACCGTGCCCGGTCGCGGTGCGGCGCACCGAGCTCGACGGCTGCGCCCTCAGCGTCAAGGGAGAACGCAGACGGCCCCGCCTGCCTGTCAGTGCATATCTGAAAGCTCATCTCGCCAACGCGGCAACACATCCATCCCCCCACGCTCGCAGTCACGGCGAGATGCTGCTCAGGCGGCGCCGCGTACCGCATCGGTTGCGGTACCGCGCTACCGAACCAACAGGGAACCATCAAGCAGGCCGTTCCGACGGAGATGCCGCGGCCGGCAGAAATCTGGGCCCCGACCGTTCGCTCCCAGCGCAGCACAGCGCCCCGGCCTCCGCGCCATTGGGCCCCGATCCCGACGCGAACACCGCACGGCACGGCCTCGCGCGCATCAAGATCGACGCGCCCGCGCAGATGGAAAGGCCGCGGATATCCAGCCAACGGCAGGCAGACGTCTGCGCAAAGAAGGTGGGAAGCGGCGAGAGAGGCGGCGAGGGTCTCCGCGAGGCACTGGTGGCGCCCTGCGTTGCAATCGTGCCCCCGTTTGCCTTGTGGATCTTAACAGTATCTGGCACAACCCGCGGAGTCCTCCCATCTGCGCCATCAGGGCCCATGCGGGGCCGACCACAGCCGCGTACCACCCTCGTATGCGCCCGCGGGCTCGCGGGAGGGGCCCGATCCTCCATCGCCCGCAATCGGCCAGCGCGTTCGGCCTCGAGCGCCCGTGGCGACGCGACGCATGCCCGCCCGACGGGGCCGGGCGATCACCGCGGGCGATGCGCCACGATCCTCGCGCGCACCTCGCACGCAGGACAGCACGGCGGCGCCCAGGAGGGCGAGGGCCAGGCGCGCCGTCCTCATGGTCGAACAGGTCCCCGGGCCGCCGGCGGGATTGCGCGTGCGGGGCTCGGCGAAGGAGCGAGTCTGGCGAAAACGCCCTGGGTGGACGCCGCACCTTCACCCTAAAGCCCCCTGAGTTGGATACTTGACGCGCGCACGTGTCCCACGTGATGCGCCAATAACACGCACATTCGGCCCACTAGCCCGCCTCCCGGTCCGGCCTGAGGCAGGTCTCCGCCGAAAAGCCAGCACTACGCGGCCCAAGATTCCTCCACCAGCGCCGGGGTGTGGGGTAGCCTAATACGCCCCTTCTTTTTATGTAATGCCCTTGATTGATCAATGACCTCCGGCGGACAGCAGACGCGCCAGGGCGCGCCCAACCCGGCTGACAAAACCCACCCGACGGTCTTGTGGGGCGGGAGCGGCGGGAGGGTGGTCACCAACCGCAACCACTGGCGCGGAGGCGTGGTGGGCGAAGTGACTGCGCGGTTGATCCAGGCTGCAAGGAGGGAGGCTGAAGCAAGGTGTGGCTGCCCACCGGGCCCCAGGGCCCGGCTGGCACATCAGCCCAGTGTGGGGCGGAGGATTGCCGTTGCTGATTGAAATTGTTCAGATTGCCTCCCGGCCGTCAGCCGGGGATGTGCCACAGCCTGGACAGCACGCTCTCTCCCGCCGAATTCTGAGGCGGGAGGCCGTCACGGGCTCGTTGGCCCGGCATATGTGCTGGGCATTGCTGGCAGGCGAACGGCTGCCGAGGCGCCATTCCATGCGCTATGGGCAGTCTCATTGATCATGTGCAGCTATGTCTTGTTTCCATTTGAGTTGGATGGACGTCTGGTCTTCGCCGATTCTCTTGCATATTTCATGGCCCCCGTTGTGGGTGGAGACATGCGCGCCCCTGGTTGTGGCCATCTTACATTCTAGCGGCTGTCCTGAACATGGTTGGACATGCCACAGCGGTGACAGGTAGGAAATCTTCTTCTTCTTCTTCTTACACATTTCACCAAAGACAATGGACCAAAACTTCGGGGACCTTGGTACCAACAGTGTGAGCAAACGATGGGTGATGTTTGCACGATAACCAGTAGTACGAGTTATCAACCGCTGTCGACGCCACCAAGGATCGATTCTTGGTGGCATGGACAGTGGTTGATAATTCCTACTACAGCTTTTCGCAGCTATTCGGACCAGTGCAAAGCAGGAGGGGATGCGGCGACAGTGTGCTGAGTTTCTTTCCCTTGCGTGCACTATTAAGAAAGGCATAAATGCTCACCCAGGGATCAACAAATTTGTAAGAAATCGAGCGATTATGACAGGTGCGCCTCATCGAAGCACCATGGATAGTGTAGGTGCCTTGTAGATGCAAACCAATTCTGAGAGAAAATTACTGCAGAAATGCTGGCCAAATTTCCACGACTACAGTTGACTCATAAGTGTGTAAGCCGACTCAATTCATGCATGCTCATAGTACATCGGACTGAGACGAGCGACTAATTGGAGGATTCACGTCTATTGGACAGGCGACCGCTGTGATTGTCATGACTCTAAGATTAAATGGTTGTACAATCCACATCCACTGAGCGTCAGTTTGGGAAAGGGCGAGGACTTGGATGTTCAGGGATAAACCGTGCGCCAATTTCTGCTGCCAAGCACGTGGGCCAAGACAGGTCCCTGACAGTTGCATTTGAAGAAGCTGCTTTCATGAAGTAGTGGCCCTCAAATGGGACACGGAACATCAGCAATTTCTTGAACATATGGGATAGAAATGCGTAGTGCATTATGCTTTTACATATGTAACTTTCTGGGTACATTTGCGGCAAAGGTACAGATGTTTTCGTGCATCTCAAGCGCCCTTTAGCGAATCTGCCATTGTGCTCCGACACCTGCCTCACCTCTGCCCCTGTTCGGCCTCCTCGGAGCAAAATAGTACACTTACACTTACAGAGCAATAATCAGCAACAACGCACCAACTCTTACACAACAATGCTTACAGAGCAATAATCAGCAACAACACACCAACGCTTACACAACAATGCAACTCAAGTTTGTCTTCGTCTTGGCGCTTATAAAAGAGACAAAACTTCTTCTCATTCTTCCCAGGAGGAAGGAGGCTCCATTTTGCGCTCACGCGTCATGGTGGATGGCCTCCCACAGCCAAAGGCCTCACCCGCGTTTGCCTACTTTCATCACTCTTGGCAATCGCTTCCTTTCTATGAAATCCCGTTCAGGCGTCATCCGTGAAACACCAGCACAGGCAAGTCTGACTTCCCAGCGACTTCTCGGCTGCTCGAGCCTGAAATGAACTTGGCCAGCGTGCTCTTCCTGTGTGCGGCCACGACGATGGCGGCAGCGTCCAAGTCGACCGCCGAGTGGCACACAGCCTCTCCGATTGTCTCGAAGGACTCCTCCTGTATGACGTCCACGTGATAGGCGACATCCAACGAGTCAAGCAGGGGCACGAAGCGGTCGCCGATGAACTGTTGGGCGTCCTCCTCCTGCGGACAAGGAGTGCGTCGTGATCGCCACAAGGGAATCAATTAATGTCCACTTATCATGAGGATGTTGGGGAGGGTCAGTCGATGTTTGCTGATTCAAACCATGGCTCAAGGCCGTGTTCAGTGTGCTTCTTCGGGAAGACTGGTGGTGGCAGGAAGTGTCTGTTCATGAGTAAGCAGTGCTTTGGAGGATGCGTTGAAAAGGGCCTTTGGAAATACGCCAGCCATCAGGCATATCCTTGCAGCTGGCAGCGTGCGCACCATTTGCTTTTGCAGGTCATCCGTAGGAGGTGGCGAATAATACACCGCACCAGAGGCAGCATGGCCAGGAAGGAAAGGAAGCACGTGGAGGATGTGGATGACGTCCCCTGGAGCAAGCACAATACCGTCAGATGCCGGATACTTGGAACCCTGCAACAAAGCATAGCATGCTTGCATGCAGAAAATGTTGAAAATCAAGCCAGATGTTTTAGCACACTACTGATCGAGAATTCAAAATGCACAGGGTCCAGCACCTGTCTGCTGTATCAGGTCTGCAACGGGACACAACACCCTAACATGGCGGGTGCGTCCATTCATGGAAGTGGACATGGAACAGTTTAAGTGCAAATTTTGAGGTTAGTCATTCATGCCGTCTCACAGCCCCACGCACAGCGCCCCTTGGTTTCCAACAAGATGGCCGTGATGCAAGGTAAGAACAGATAAAAGTTTTGGGGGCTGTCACAATCATTGGGCCGCCATCCTTGTGAGCCTCATGGATCCGATGCACATAATGCCTGGGTGCCGCAGCATTGGTGTCGGGACTCTGCGTACCGGATCTGTAGAAGTTGTCCACGGTCCATTTCAACGCCTTCTCGGATTCCTGAGATGCAAAACCATGTCTCAATCGAAGCGGAAAAGAGCACAGGGGTCCTAATCCAGCCGCCACACATGCCCACTTGGTAACCCCGAGTCGTTGAGCGCCAGCGCCGCTACGCGGAGGTATTCCCTTCAACGGGTTCGGCTGCACTCGGCAGCAGCGATCGACGTCGGCAAGACGCAAGCGCATTTCAAGACCGGCCTCCACATCCAAACCACGACGCTCCCCCTTCCTACCCCCTTCCAAATCCCTCCTTGCCAAACAAATGATTCAGCCACCCAAATTCACGTCGACCCGTGTCAATCCTCACCATCTCGCACTTCTCCTCCCCGCCCACTGTGCTCACTACGCAGGCGAACATGGCCCTTTCGCCCCCTCGCGCTCCCCCCCTCCGCGACAGCAAAGCCACGTGGTCAACCACGCAAGCCAACGGCATGCCATCTCAGCAAGGCTCCACTCACCTCAGAGTCGTCCACCGCGACCACCAGCTGGCGGCCGCTGCCGTTCTCCTCCCGCCTCGCCGCCACGGCCTCTCTCTCCGCTTCGGCCGCCCGCGTCGCGACTCGCCATCTGGGCCGAGCCTCGCGCGCGGCGATCCGCGCCGGACGGCACCGACCGTGCTCGGCGCGGCGCTTCGCCGATCGGAAGCCCAAGGCCTCCCTCAGCTGGGGGACGGCAAGGGGGGCGATTGGCAGGCAGGTCAGCGTACCGTTCTGGAGCTCCATTCCCGACTCGCCCTTGCAGCAAAGTTTCCGCTTCGGGTGTCGGGAGGCGACGTCGGGGGAAGTGCGCTGCAGACAGCGCGGGGGGGGAAGTTGTAGATTGCGGGCGCGGTACTGCGATGCTGCGCTGTCGCCGACGTGGGCACGGCCAAGGCTTAGTCAATGCCGTTGCAGTGGAGTGGGTGGGCGTGGTGGTCGCGAGGCCACATTGTGACCACCATTTCACTGGGTTCGGGATTTATCCTATCGGCTGTTTTTATCGGCTGGCAAGGGGATCTGGCGTGCGCGCTTTTTCGCACTGCTTGGGATGGCCCGAATGAGAACAAAGAGAATAAAGAGAATTGAGAATAAGGAAAGGAAAAAGAAAGTGCTTTCAAGATGGGTTGAGAGCTGGCAGCCAAGATTCTCAGGATGGAGAACAAGGGACGTGGACACTTTGGGAGGGCAAGGGTTTGTTGAAGAAATCGCCTCGTGCACTCACATAACTCCATGACTTTGGAGTGATCATACAACAAGGGGCTCTGCGAAGCCTTGGACTTCAAGGCCCTGGGAAATAAGTTGGACTCATTGCGCAAGAAATGGCTCAGTTCCTTGAGAATCATCTGGAATTTCTGACCGGACAAGGAAAGCGTGCATGGCTTCGGGTTCATATGACAAACACGGGTTTCCATGTGAAATGTACGATTTACAAATGTACGGTTTCTCAAAGCTGCACACGCATACAATCAGTGCGCGTCCCCGCCCGAGTACCTCCCGTACTGGCGCCACCTGTGCGGTTGCTTTCACATGTCTCTTTATGCAAGACCTGTACCGCTGTTTGGGCATGATCGGTTTAATATCGTGGCCAAGCAGAGCAAGTGATTGCAATCTCCGGTGCATTAGGATTGATCGACCGGGTGCAGAGCTAGGTCATATCGAGGTGGCTGGGCTTCACAGAAGCTCTGGTGGTTGTTGCACATTGCAATCAGTGGAATGCACTGTTGTCTAATTTGATGGGCCGGGTGCCCAAGACATGGCAGACGGAGCTTGAGCTCGTGATTCTGTAATTAAGCGCTTGCTTGATGGCCCAACACCTTAATTCTAATTAAACGTGTATTCAAACACTAAAATGAGAAAGAAAGATAGAAGTGACAGAGAAATGTTGAGAAGCCGTATCGTACCGTCTAGCTGAAATGCTCGTTGAACTTTCAACAGATATGCTGAAAGTTCAGGTGAGCAAGCGGTAGATGAAGCTGAAACGAGCGCATGTTATGCAACGCGTGTTCTTTGGAGCATCGTGCAGGCCAATTTAAGATTTGATGACGTTGCATTGCATTTTCTGACTAGCGATCTGACGCCCAAACGTGATGGTGCAATGTTAAATCAAAGCATTGTAGATATGACTGCGATCTCAACATTTTCACGCAATGTTTTTCTTTTATAGATATATAGATCTGTTTCCAAGCTGGCTGTGCAGTTTGAGTTTGGTAATCGAATCGACATAGTTTGGAGGTTGTCCTTTTTAAGATTTCTTGCATGAATTCATCTTCACCCTTGGAAGCACAAACAGGCGTGTTAGATATTTGCATATCCGATAGCCTGACTGTAGAAAATACCGCAAAAAAACGTATGTGAACAATATTTCATACCGAGGAGGCCGACTTCCAATGACTTGGTTGTTATTCCAACGAAACGTTGTTAATCAAATGGGTTTAAATCTGGGTGTTTGGGTACTTCGACTGCCAGGAATTTTCACATTTTGTCATGCGAGGGATTGCTGATTCCGCGGATTAGTGGTGGTGGGATTGTGGATCTGTGGGGAATTCAAGTAACATGGGTTAGGGCATAGCTGTCGTCAATTCTACGATCGATGACACGATCGATGAATTCCGTGAATTCCGTGAACTCGTTGTGAAAACTGGTTCTCAAACGAAACGGCAATCTGGATATCCAGACAAATTCCCAGTGTTTTCGGTCTTTCAATCGGTTTTTCAATTTTCGTGCTTTTTGCTTTGGTTGTGTAGTAACCGTTGGGAGTTCTGCCTCTCTGTCTGACCAGGCTCGCAGAAGTGCCTCGATTGTAAGACTATTGTCTGAAGCACATCATGTCGGGCTTGGCTTGGTGTGGGAATGGTGCCTCAACCCTTGCCTTGTCGCACATTGCCTCGTCCGCCGTCCATGCACCTGGATATTGGTTGTGGTTCTGCCGGACCCAGTTTCATTTACGGCTGAAAATCACCATGTGCGTGCCAAGTGAGCGTCCCACACTTGAAGCCGGGATGGCGGGCTTACTTCAGCAGCCCCGAACTACCACAAGTTGTTGTGGAAACACCAATTTTGTCGGTACTTTCTCGCAGTGCACGCAAAATCACTTGAAGCGAGAACCCAAGCCTCACCGTCTTCAGCCATCGATTGGCGGCAATAATTAAAACTTCCATGCCAGTTTATTGACCAGCATTTACGCAGAAAAGCGCGTGGAGCAGTGGCAGCTACGAATGCGGTACCAGCGTAGCCCGCAAAGCTGTAGCACTGGAAATCAATTGGGGCTGTATCCCATTTGCAGCAAGCAGCAAGGCTTTTGCCACATAGTGTAGCTATTGCCCGAACCCAAAGTCGTTCTCGAAAAGCGAGCCTAAAACCCTAGGTCGTTACATAGTAAAGCCAATGGTAAGCCTCCGCGTCTGCTTGGACGGCTTGGATCCCAACCTCCAAGCGGCGTGCACTTTCCCCTGGCTGCTACAAACGACTGGCACCGCAAGACCCAAGCCCCAGGCTGGCTTGTCGCTGGTGGTAAAGCGGAGTTCGCCACAGACGAATTCCCCTTTGGCGATGCTGCCTTCGAGGGCAAAAGTCCAACAATACGAACAAAAGCGAGAGCATTGCAAACATGCAACGACAGCTGGGAATCTCGTCTTGGCCTCCTCTTGGCGGCCAAGAGCCAACGGACTGCCAGAATGGGGCGGGCACAGTGGTGCGCTCGGCACTTCCTGGCGAGCGACGCTCTGTGGCCTGAGCTCGGGATAGGCCTCCACCTGGATTTTCACCGTTGAGCGACTGGCGACATAAATTCAGTGCCCTTCTCTGCTGTCAAACCAGGGCTCAACCGCGGGACTGACGCCGGACCCCAATCTACTGCACACAGGTCGACCAGGAACTTCATTATGGACTTCGGGACAGGCGATGGTGCTCGAAGACAATGCAGCCCTCGATGGTGGTGCAACGGACGCTCGCCTTCAAAACCAGGAGTGGGCCCACAGCGCCAGGGTCGGATCGCAGAAAACAGGCCGTCACGAGAACACCCCCCCAGGCCCTGCGATGTCTCTCTGCGCGGAGGCTTGTCCAATATCTGTCACCGCAATGCGATGGGAACTGACGTCAGCCGCTCTTTGCCTCCACCCTCCCCGTTGCTGCCAAGCCCCACAATTCTCCCCGTTGGGCGCCGAAGCCGAGGCGCAGCCCACGGCCGAATATTCTGAGCGGGCCTCCGAGGGCGATATCCCCCTGGCCTCCGCGCTCCCACCGCCCGAGCGCAGCAGCGACGAGCCACCGGACCCGCCTGGCGTAAGCCACTGGATCGCAGATCCGCCCCAACGTCCGAGGTGGCTGATTGGCGCGGCGGGGCAACCCCAAGTCGCCCTGCTCCTGCATTGGTGATGGGGGGCAGTCGGTAGCGGGACTGGGGCGGGAATCTCCGGCTGCTTCATCGCGGAGAGGAGTTCAAATCGGCGGGCCGGGAGGGGATGGCGGTGGTGGCGGCCCCGGCCCGCTGCGTGGATCCCGGCGACGCCTGCGCGGTCTGGAGGGGGGGGATAGTGATGCCCGACGGATGGGAGGGGGTGATCGGCGCGGCGTCGGGGACGACAGCCGGGACCACGGACGGGAGCGAGGCAGAATCAAGGGCGCTACCTGTTGAGTCTGGGGATTCTGCGTCGCAACAGGTGCTGCGGATGTGTCTGATTGAGCACACGCGCCGCGATGAGTCCACGGGACGCGGAAGCCCGGACGGCACGCTGGCGAGTAGAGGGCCTCACTGGGAGGATTCGGTTCTCTGTCGTTGCAGGCCGCCCAGGTTGAGGGGATCACGTCGAGGGACATCGGGCTGCGCGCGGCTGGCTGCACCAAAACGGACGGGTCATCGGACAAGGGACGCGTGAGGTGGGCGAAATTGGGTTTCGCCGCGGGAGCCGCTAACCTTTGGTGAGTGCCCGCCGAGGCGTGCGGCTGTGCGAACGGCGTGTTGGTCGTTGCCGTGTGGACGTCTGTGACGCCCCTGGGGTGTTGGCGCGGCGGTGGGCTGCCATCCTTGGGCCATGCGTTAAGAGATGAGAAGACTCCCGGGGAGCGGAGGTGCAGAAGGTGCCCGCCCAAGGGGCTGATTCCTGGGAACCGCCGAACAGGGCCGGTACCGCGCCTGTGTGCTGACCAGTTTAGTTTGCGTGTGTACGGATGGTGTTGCATTCACCTGCCCTGATCAGAGACAGTGGGGTGCCAGGTTGAGGTGCCTGCGCGTCGATTCCTACTTCATGAGGCTTAGGCATGCTGGCGGTGTTGATGTTTCACACCTGTGTAACATGGGTTGGGGACTGTGCGCACAAAGAGAAATCCTCCCTTTGGCTATCAACCGATCCAGTGGCAGCTTGACGACCTCTGAACCAGCTGCTGCTCTGGTGCTGCAGTCTGATATTCTATTGGCTGGGTTACTCGAGAAGCACGTTCTACCGGCTATACACAGCTGAGTCCATGATTCTGTTCAGTGCTCGATGGGTCACCTTCAAACGAGAGAAGAAACATTACTACATGTTCGACTTTTGCTATGCTGCCAACGCCTTGCTCATGCTGTTCCTGTGGGGGTGGCCACAGTGCGTCTGGCTACACAAGGTGAGCTTGAAGTCACCTCATGGTCCTGTGTATGTCCAGCAAGGACACTCTGGATTCAATGCTTTCACACCTGTTCCGGTCGGTCAGCTTTGCATGGCACTGTGAAGTGGGCTGGAATTTGCACACATCAATTCCAGAATACACCACTGAAAAGTGGTTCCTCTGTGCTGTTCACAGGTACTATTCGCATACAATGCTGGTCCCCTAGCATGGTCCATCGTGGCTTTCCAGAACTCCATTGTTTTCCACAGTCTGTATGAGTGGACGTCGCTATTGATCCATTGGTACCCCATGCTTGTGTCATGGGTGCTTCGCTGGGATGAGGGTTCCTGTGAACTGTACAGCACCTGCGATGTGACAACAGCAGGATGGTGAGTAACACCAATCTTTCCTGCCTCCTTTCCTGGCTTTCAGCTGATCGTTACTGTCAAATTCCACAGTGACCCTACCTGCCTCAGCAGGGCACCAACCACGTGCAAAGAAACTAAGCCCATAGGCCATCGTTCATTGCATTAACGGCGTTGTTCCAATCAGTGCATGTTGCCATCTTTGCAGTAGAAAGTGCACATAGGACATGTGCTGGGTAATGCATTTCTGCTGGCACCTCTCTTGGCATCTGTCCATCGTTACCAGCCAGTGGCCTGTAGTGCCCTTCTCTCCAATTGACCATTCCAGTGGATGACTGAAATCCCCATTGCGACTGCGAAAGTTTGTTTTGGTGATTTACTGCACAATCCACATTTGTGAATGGGCAGCACATCTGTCTGCTGCTTTGCAGGCTACCAATGCCTTCCTATGTTGTGGCTGCAGCACAGCCTCAAAATCCGACTGCAGATGTGCTCAATCTCTTTGTAGCATAATTTTCTTTTATTGTGTGTTGTGAGCAACCTGTGCACAGGCTGCACGCAGGAAATTTGACAGAACCTGTCATTTGGCATGCATATGCAGGTGGGAATGGACAAACGTGGCAGAAAGGTGGAGCTGGAATGACTTATTCGAGCTGGGTGTCCTCCCAATGGCACCCTATTTGGTGTGGGCCACACTGTACTACCTCAAAATATTTGTGATCTCGTCGAAGAAGATAGAACAGAGGGGTTACGAAACCCTGTACAAGTACACCACCACAGAACATGCACTCTGCAAGAAGGTCATCCATAGGTGGGGATTAGCATCTGCTTGCAGTCTTGTTGGCTGCCTGCAGACAATGTCCTTGGCACATGCGAGATGTTGGCCAGCATGTGCAGTTCCAGCATAGCGATGGAATTGGTGTGCAGTTAGCAACTGTTCTGAATGCTGTGCCCGCCACTCCCCAAAGCACCTGCGGACGACATGACGGTGTGCGACAGAGCCATGTATTGGCTGTGAACACTCTGTTTGAGGAACATGGTATAACCATTTGAAGCGCAGGGCCGAGGCTGAAGCCCTGGGTGTCCATAGCAGCATGCCAAACAGGAGCCATTGCTGTGGCATGGCAGTTGCATGCTGTGTGTGCTGCGCTGATGCAGGATGCGGTTGTTCCGAATGTGATGTCGTTCATGTGATTCCTGTATCCAGGTATCCCTTGCGACTTCAGCCCTTGGCGTACATGGGCTACCACTCACTCCTGTGCTGGTCCTCCATGGCCATCAGCGTCATTTTTTGGTACTTCCCATGGGTCCACACTGGTCTCATTCTGGTCACCACTGGCGCATCTTTCTGGAACGGCGCCAGTTATTACCTTGAGGCGTCCGTTGTCCTGGAAGACAGCCAAGCATGTGGTGCCAAAGACAAGCGCAAGTGATGCTGTGGCTGGGGAATTTTCATCCAAAACAGACAGGGCAGTGATAGGTCAGATGGGAGAGCACAGAATGGCTGGGGAACATGCTGAGGGTTTGGGCACTAAGTTAAACGACGAATTTCTTTGTCATCTTTGGAAAAGGCCCTTGGTGGGGCTGTATGGGTATTGCGATGATAGGCACCACCGATGCCAGTGAGAACATAGGTTGGAATGTGCGCTGTGGTGGGTTAGTTGGGGGCTGAGCACCACTGTCAAGCTCAGTCCATTTGCTGCCGGTTTGTCTGGCAGTCCGCGGTGTCATCAACAAAGGGATTTTGGAACACACCTCGCCAGTGTTGAAACAGTCGCAAATTGCCTTTGAAGGGTATGTTTCAGACAGTGGCAGGTATTAGAATGGGCGCTTTACAGGCTTCGTATTACCCAGTGTCGCTTCCTTCCCTTCCTTATGGTCGCATCCATCGAGGCATTTCCTGCGTCATGAGAAGCATGCCATGTTCAGGCTTGCACAGAACGGCATGAACGTTTCAATCCCACTTCTGCGTTTCCGCTCTGACTCATCCACCATCACAAGCGTCAACGGGATGGGTGTGAGACACAATAGCCCTTCAATGGCGGGGAACGCACACACGAGCTGTGTGGCTGGTGCTTCCTTTCAGAAGCGAAACTGCAAGTTTGCCACTAGTCGTGTATTAAGCTACTCAACGTCCTGTGTATAATTGACATATGGCGCCTGACATTGCATTTGCTACCCATCATAAAGGTTTGACAAGGACTGAGACTGTTGGAAAGGTGGAAAAGCGCGTTACACAGAGTATGAGCAAAGAATGATCTATTTTGTTGACAGCCTTGGGTGCCATGAGCATTATAGGTTAGTTTCCGAGCGAGAATGCTTTGACATGGTAGAATGACAGCCACAAGGCTCGTGACATTTAGAGAGAAAATCACAAACGTTGGGGACGCAGTGCTAAAATGTTGATGGATTTGTCTACGCACTGTTATAGGGGCCTTGAAACTGCCAAGGGCAAACAGGAAACAGATTTGTGCGCCACTTCTGTGCGCCATTCTTGTGCTTGAACGGTAAGGTAGGGAACGAACCATGACCAATTTGATATGCTTAGCGTCATTCTGACGCCAAGTGGGGAGGGGTACCCAGTCATAATGGTGTGACGCGAAGAGATCATGTGACTGCCACAAAATCGAGCTGAGGCCAAACAGTCGCTGGTCTGCTGAAAACGATGGAGACTGGGAAAGCGGCTAATGAGGCATCCGAGGTCCGCCGATTGCAGAATGCGCCAAACACGACTTCAGTGAATTCGGCGGCTGGCTGCACACCTTGCAGGTTGGAACACACCGGCGTAATACTTCAAACAGTTTCCGCATTTTCGCAAAATGTGAAAAATGGTGAAAATCATGCAATGGTACTGCAAACCGCGCAAAGAAAGGAACAGATCATGGTCGCCCTAAAAGTGCCTTAGGTGTCGCTTTCCACCAGTGACACACCGCGCACTGGACCCAACACAACGTTGGCATGACGACGAGGCATTGGACGCACATCCAGCGCGCCTTGGCACTTCCTTTAGTTGTGTATATTTGTAAGAATGGAGGTGTATGGCCTTCCAGGTCCAGCCAACAGTGGGCAAGTCATGAAGATACAAGCCAACAAACGGAAACCTTTTGAGCCAAATGCACTCTGGACAGTCATTGCATCATTCGTCCACTGCCTACACACCAATTCCTAACCGATCCCACCAATGAAACTCTTGGCTTGTGGCTATGCCAAGCCAGTGAGCGAAACTGCGTCTACACACGTGGAAAGAATCATCCATTTGAATTTGTAGGGGCCTTGTCAATGAGCCCCCATCCCTCTGATGACACAGCAACCTCGCCAATCCGATGCAATTGAGCTGACATCCAGGGGCGCCCACAAGCCACAGGGCGCATGGCTGCACCAATTTTTATCGTGCTCTCTTCCAGAATGCGGGATGGTGCAACGCGCTGTCTGCACGCTGCACCAAAAGGACGCTCCCCCATCAGTCCCTCCCACAAAATTCACAATAAGTGACTCCATCGCGGGTGGCCTGGAGGCCAACCCACAACTCATGTCTCCAAACTTCTGAACACAAAGTTTTCTTTCTCTCCCAAACGATAACCCATCATCTCGTTTTCAAAAGCTAGCTTCAGCACCGCGCAAAACCCTCCTCGTAACATACAGTCAGCCAAGGAACAAATTGAATCATAGACCCTGCTCTGGTCGATCTGCCGTCTCGCTCAAAACGTCCCTCTCACCAGGACATGGGGTCGCACTTGGCTTCCTGACATGCCCCCAAGTCGCTGCAAAGTACACCTCTTAATCGACGGCTAGTTCCAAACCAGTGGTGCGTCAAGTACCCTTGACAAAGAATTGCTAGCTCTTATTGTGCTCCAACTTATTCTCCAGCACAGGTCGACCCCCAAAATGCCTCTTCCTGTGCCGAGCACTGCAACTAACAGTGTGAAATGCAGCAGCCAGTTCCATCCACTAGCCTAGAATTTTGCAACAGCAACACATTCTCTCACTCCGTCCATGGCAACAGTGCCCCCAGCCGCCTCTCCAATTCAAAGGGTTGATCGTTGTCAAAAAGCTCCTGTTCGCTGCTGGCATACTTTGTGAAGACAAACGTCCCAGCGATGAATGACAATATGGACGGAATGAACAACGCGATGGGCCAAGAGCCCGTCTGATCCAGCAGGAAGCCAACAAAGAAGACACCAAAGATCCCAGGCACAGCGCCGGTGGTGTTCGTCAGGCCCAACAGGAAGCTGGCATACTTGGGGGACAGGTCCTGGTGGTTGCAGTACAGCCCCGCCATCGAGAAGGACGACAGCCCAAGGGCGGTTGTGATGAGGCCCACCCTGAGCACACTGTCTTCCGTGAGGGTTGCTGCCGTCAGGCATGCCGCAGGCCCCAGGAAGGCCATGCACTGTGCCAGCTTGCGCACGACCGACGTCTCCCACCCGCGCTCCACCAGAAAGTCAGCCATTGGGCCCGCCACAGATGAAGTCAATATGCCGGCAATGGGCGGCAGCAGCGCCACCTGGGCTGCATGAACGAGGTCGAGGCTCAGGGTGTCCGTGAGGTAGGACGGCAGCCAGGCCATGAAGGTGTACTGGAACCAATTGTTGCAGAAGTGGGTGAACATGAGCGCCTGGACGGGCTGGGATCTCAGGATGGCCCGCCAGGGCACGTGCGCATCCGCGAGGTCACCTTTCGCAGCGGGGTCGCCTTTCGCAGCGGCCTGACCGTCCGTCCGAACGGTAGTGGTCTGCGTGATCAGCCCGTGAACCTCCGGATCCGTGGCCGCCATGTCCGCCACCAGCCGCTCCCACCACACCACCCATGTCACCGCCGCGGCGCCGGACACCAGGAACACGCTCTGCCAGCCGAAGTGCTCGATGAGGACGGGCGCGAGCAGCAGGCCCAGGATGCTGCCCACGTGCAGGCCGCCAAAGATAAAGGAGATCGCCCGCGAGCGCTCGCCGCTGGGCACGCAGTGCGCCACCATGTCCGTGATGGCGGACGGCGCCACGGCCTCACCAAGGCCCACTGAAGCCCGGGACAGGCACAGGCCGGGCAGGCTGGCCGCCACGCCGGGCACGGACGCCGTGGCCAGCGCCCAAAGCCCCACGCCCACCGGCAACACCTTCCTGCCGCTGAACCTCCCGCACAGATAGCCGCCGGGCAGCTGGGACAAAATGTAGCCCCAGAAGAAGCCCGACTGGACCAGGCCAGCCACCGACGCGCCCCAGCCGAACTGGCGCGCCATTGGAATGATGGCCACGCTCATGTTGACCTTGTCCAGGTTGCACAGCACGAATGCCAGCGAGGACGCCGCCACCACGCGGTAGCGCGACGGCAGGTCCTCCCAGGCATCCGCAGCCATCGACAGGACGGCCTCCGCGCTCTCGAGCACCTGCTCGCCCGGCCGCGGCACATCCACCTTCTCCCGCCGCGGCCTGATCGCCTCCGCGACGTAGGCGCCCGAGTTGCCCCGCCGCGCGGGCACCATCGCTCGCTCTCGCCGCACGCGCTTGGCCTGGCGGGCCAGCTCCTGCCTGTCCACCTTCACGGTGTGGTACTTCTTTCCCGCGCGCACCTCGACCGCCAGGCCCTTTCCGCCACGCCTACCTCTCCACAGGCCCCCGCCGGGGCCACAGGGCGCCCCCGCGCGCCACGCCGGCCCCGCCATCCCGCCAAGCGGACCGCACTCCACCGCGCCAATCCACCCGTAGAGCCCGATCCGTCCGGCCACCGCCAATACCCCTCCCCTGCGCTGTGGGCCTCCCGCCGCAAGAGCCTTCGCGGCCTCCCGGCTGCCCACCGGACGCGGGTTCTCGTCGCCGCCTCCTCGCCGCTCGCGCGCGTCGCGCCCTGCGCTGCACAATGCCCGCAGCGCCAATGCTGTGGTCGTGCGTGGGGCGCGCGTCTGGAGCACCTCACTGCACGGGATTCTTGTGCGGGCGTGGAGCCACGCAGGCGTGTCATGTGAACCGTTGGTGCGATGGGCATTAAATGAACAAATGAACATCTCGATGCCGTTTAGTCAATGGCTGTCTGTTCTGTAAATTAACCCTTCCGGTTTCAGAAACATTCAGAAAAAATGTGGGCATCCTATGAACAAATGGACAAACGATTCATCAAGACGCTCATTTGTTCACTTGTTCATAGACGCCGGCAATATGGCGGGCATTAAATGAGCACATAAGCAGCTTGATGTCATCTTTCAAGGATATACGGAGGCTGGCTGTCCCTCCTGTATTCAATCCTTCCTTTCTTGAGCGGGAGAGCCAAGAAGGGGAGGGCTGAGTTGCAGAAGGAGCAGTCAGTGTCCACTTATCCTTGAAGATTGATTTTCATTGTGAAGGCGAGAAAGATACATAAGTGATTGTGTGGAGGGTGAAGTCTTTGTGGCGAATTAAATATGGTGTTCAGCATGGTGAAATGGGGAGCGATGGGGAGAGACATGTTTTTGGACACGCTTGCAGTGAACACAACATGAGTGGGACAATCATTCTGTAACATCATCTGGTTGCGGCTTGCTTCCCGTGCCTGGGAGCGACTGTGTGTGAGCGCGGACAGAAAGCGTGAACAACGTAACAGTCATCAAGACGTTTATTTCCTCGTTTTTGTTCATTTCAATCCCCCAGGACGGTGCCCCACGTAACCGCGCCAAAAAACAAAGGAGGCGCCCCACTCGCAGCTTGCGCAGCTGAAAAATGCGCCCAACGACTTGCCCCCTGGGGCGTGCGCCATGGCACCAGAGAGGCTGGCCACCCGGGCGAAGGAGCTGGAGGAGGGCCTGTTGTACAGCGACCGCCTGGCGCTGGACACCAGCGACGTCCTGAGGTCGCTCATCGGCCGTCTGACCGAGTTCTCGGACGCCACGTCCACCATCCGCACACGGGCGCACGCCCTGACGATCGCGTCGCAGAACGTCCGCCAGGTTCGGGAGCGATCCGATGAGCTTCTGGCCAGCCTCGACACGTCTCGGCGCGTGCGCTACTCCATCTCTCGCGGCCCTGGGGGCAACCAATTGGATGCCTTCCTCGCAGCGGTGGATGAGTTGGACGCGTCGATCGAGCTCCTGTCGCAGCACGCATCGATGTCCAGCGTGCCGGCGGCGCTCATGCACGCCAAGCAGATCCAGAAGGAGGCGATGCAGGCGTGCGCGGCGGACTTCGCGTCCACGCTGTCGGCGCACTCGAGGCTGGACGTGGCTGCCCAGGCGCAGAGGGGGGAGCCAATCTGCCTCGTGAACGAGACGGCGGTGAACAGGCTGCAGGTGGGCGACGCGCTGACGCTGCGGTCATCTCGCTGCGGCTCCAGACTTCGCAGCAGTCGTGTTTGGGGGCTTGGGGTGCACTTGCTACTGAAGAGGGTGCGTTTTCACATAGAGGATTGCAGCACCAATGGATGCCCCACACATGTGTGGAAATGCGCAATGACAACAGGTCACTTTGCAATGAAAAACAGTCCGCGTGGAAACTTCCACCAGCCCATGTTTGCGCCCACTGTGGCTCAATACTGCTCACTCCATCCGTGTCTGCAGGTACTGGCCAACACGATGATCAAAGGCGGCTACCGCGGTTTCAAACAGGTCCGCCATCTCTGCATCGCTCATCAAGCTTTGATTCCCTTGCGGTGCCTCTCTAGCACTGTGGAAGCAACTATTTTGCGAGTGCCCCCTTGGCCCCTTGCCCATCCTCCCGTTCTCTTATTAGAGGCAGCGTACCACTCACGAAGGAACCACCCCTCTGCATTGTGCACGCGTTGCTGTCCCAGGCAGATTGCACGAGACAGCTGCTCGCAGTCATGTGTGGACGTCAGCAGCTCACACGCCCACAAATGGGGAATGGGACATGTTAGAGTTTCTTTGGGTTGAATATGGTGGGATGCCTTGGGCAGGTGTATGTGGAGCTCCGGTCAGATGCGTTTGATAGGATGTTCTATGAAGTGGGGACGAGGGACATGTCCCAGGTTGGGGAGCGTTCGGCAGCGGAACAGGTCGAGGCACGAGTGCAAGTCTGGACGAAAGCCGTTGGCATCCTTGATGCTGTGTTGAGGGAAGACAGACGTCTGGCCCAGGCAGTGTTCGACGGAATGGAGAGCTGTGAAGTCTTCACACAGGTGAGGGCAGTCTGCAAAGAGTAGGGTCGGTGGGGACAGTCAGCAGGAGCAGGCTCAGGAGCTCAGCAGGCTGCATGTGTGTGGAATCATCGTGAAGTGGGATTCGCTTCAGCACCAGTTGACATGAAAGAAGAAATAATCATGGTTATGCAGAAGATGGGCCCTCCCGACTAGTTTGCATTTGTGTCTCTTGCTTTGACCCAAAGCAGGGAAAATGAGGTTGAAATCTCCAGATGGATGAAAGGAAGCACACAGCAGACAATAGGATCTGGGTTTCTAGTGAACAAGAATCTGGACTGGGTGGTGCAGTTCATTCATGGATGGTCCATGTGGAGATATTGTCAAGGGAAGATTGGTGGCTAAAACAGCCCCTCTACAGACTCTTGTTTGCACTTTCCGCATCCCATTTTTTCCTTCTTGTCGGGAAAGAGGAGTTTGAAATTCTGCAAGGGCGTATAGACGGTTCACATGTCATATTCTTATGTGCAAGTTGGGATATGTCCCAGGCACACGCCATGCTGCCAGTCTCCCTGTGTGCTGTGCCTTTCCCCATGCCGGCTTGACGCCCCCTATGCTGTCCCTTCCCTGCAGACCATCGAAAAGACAGTCGTGGCCGTGGTGCAGCACGGGAGGGAGATAGTCAACAGCAGGTACCAGTCCCATGACAAGATGTTCTTCCTGCTGGACATGCACCAGCTCTTCGAGCGGGTGCTGGCATCCCTCAAGAGCGTCCTGTGCGATGGCGAGGGCCAGAAGAAGATGTTCAGCGACCTCGTGACACTGAAGCACCAGACTGCTCGGGAGGCGCGCAACATCCTCACCCAATTCGGCGAATCTGTGGCTGGGGACCCTGGCCGCAAGGAGCTGCCAGATGGCACTGTGCACCCACTCACTGCCAACACCCTGGGCTTTCTCAAGCGCCTGCTGAAGCACAAGAGTTTCCCTCGCGTCCTGTATGGGGACAGTGATGCATCTGACGTAGGCGAGGACGCTGAGGCATCGCAGTACCAGTTGGGCAACCAGATGTCTATGCGTGTGATGCACATCTTGATGGGCCTGGTGGAGAACCTTGAGACCAAGGCCCAGGTGTACAAAAACAAGGCCCTGTCAGCCATCTTCTCGATGAACAACATACGATTCATCATCACATCTATGGAGCTGTCCAACGCGATCAGCCTGCTGGGCGAAGAATGGGTGCGGCGGCAGGAGGCGCTGGTGCAGGGCTACGCACAACAATACCACCAGATCGCCTGGAAGCCCGTGATCCGGGCGCTGGCAGTTGGCAACATTGAGGGCGGGGAGCACAAGAGGAAGGCGGCCGTGAAGGAGCGGTTCAGGACTTTCAACGACATAATGGCCGATGTGCATGAGACGCAGAGCGAGTGGTCCGTGCCCGACCCGGACCTCAAGGCATCCATCAAGAAGGCAATACTGGACGACCTGGTGCCTGCATTCCAGGAGTTCATGGTGTCCTTCCAGAGCTTTGCGTACAACATGACCAAGAATCCTGAGAAATATTTTAAGTACACGGCAGAGAAGCTTATCCACATAGTCAACAAGGATTTCTTCGAGTCAAGAGTGCTGTCCCATTCGAAGGACGCCAAGAAATCTAAATTGGACGCGCTTTGATTGTTTGATTTGGCAGTTTTGTAGTGTAGTTGTTGCAGATACGTTTGATGCACAGAGAGCAACCTATTCTTACAAGGGGTCGCTGTTGCTCACTTCCATGGTATATACCTGCCAGAGGTATCGCCACCCTGCAGCACCTCCGCACGCCCAGACTTGAGAGTGGGTGCACAACAAGCTGTGCCATCCAGTGCCTTGCCACTTTGCAGTTTCATCAACTAAGTGGATGTTAGTGCATGCCAGTGTCGAGAGCGTCGAACCTGGTGTCAGCTTGTATGTCACTGTGTACAGCTCTGACACTGTCCCCTCGAACTGGCCCACAGACAATGCCAAGCCAGCAACACCAGATGTTGGTGCAATATGCGCCACTGCGCCAAGCTGCACAGCCCATGTAAGGCATACACCCAGTGCGATATTGTATCTCTCTTGAGGCTATGATACAACTGTATGTTCAGAAAGGCACAAGCATCCCAGGCCAGGTTGGGGCGGATGCGTGACAATTGGCAGGAAATGGCAAGTGACAAGGACAGTGCTTGTTGCCGGTGCCATCAGACAGGCTGCACAGTGCCACTTTTCCTCACCCCACCCTACATGGCTGACAAGGCTGGAAGTGAATATAATGCAAAAAGTGACATACCGACCATCCATGGACAGTATGCTGCAGGCTGCTGAAGTATTGGCAACCGTCTTGCAACGAGGCTCCAAAGACAGATAAAGAATCAAAAATACCCAGTTCAGAGGGAGCACCCAGCCCCCATGTTCGCCATCGCTGGATGCGCATTTTGCACTGCATACACTGCAATGGCACCTGTGGTTCGATGCTGCAATTGTCAATTATTCAGCAGCCCCACCCACTAACAAGTAGTGAAATGTACCAACCCCATCCCTACGCTGTGACCCATGTTCCAACACCGCGCACCTTCAGTCAACCCTGGTAAAAGCTTGCAGAAATTTGGACAGCCCGATATGAGCATGCCACAAGGTAAAGAAGAGTGCACCTCCACCGTCAGTCATGTCTTCACTCCCCCAAGGCAGCAATCCAAAGGGACGAGATAGTTGAGTGGGCAACCGGCGCACTTAGGCAACTTGTACAACTTGCACGCACCGTGCACCTGTTCTACCCTTCCCTCTGGTAACCCCTTCCCTTCAGGATTGGCCTTTAAGCAGATGAAACACACACCATGCAGAGGGCCCCTCCCACACACTGCAACAACCAAGACGACTCCGTTCGATGCTCAAGCTGGTATCCAATGCACTCAGCAGACACAGTACATCCGTGACATTGCCATGTTCATGAGATACAGCATCATGAGGACCAGAATGAACATTCCTTCACCGCTGTCCGATCCCAAGTCGAAGACCTGCTGGTTGCGCTGTTGTGTCCTGCCCTCCCGGTCACTGGAGCCGCCTTTGTTAAAGTTCCCAGAGGATCCTGGAGGCGGCGGGCTGTCCATCTTCCCTATAATTAGTCAAAAGCATTGCATGTCTGGGCAAGGATGTAACCACCAGCTCTCCAATTTTATCGCCAGCGCAAAGCAGTGCCAGTGAGTTCCAAAAGGGAATAACTACATCCTACACAGCAAGAAACAGGACTACCAGGCAGTGGTGCCCTCTCCATATGGCAACACTTCGAGATCCATCACCCCTTTCGAGGCAGCCACTCGCTCACCCTCAACGATGGTGATAGAGGGATCTATGGGGGACGTGAATAAAACGGCGCTCCAACCAAAGCCAGCAACACTACCAGCGTGGTATGCGATTGACAAAGCAGGGGCATGGCGAGGCGGTGAAAAGGCGATCGTGAGCAGTGAGGCGGTCCTTTAGTTTCGGCCTTAGGCCTAGGAGGGGTGAGGTTTGCCTTTGCCTGTCAAGGCGCGAGAACGGCAGCTCTAAAGCTGGGACCCGCATGTGCTGACGGCGACACAGAGGCCACAGGGCGCAGCAAGCCCAGGCTTGTGACCCGCCACCAGCTTGGCGCCCACGCGATCGTCACCACCTTATGAAATGGGCTTCGCAAGTAGGCGATGGAGTGGGCACATTGCGACGCCAACACCTGCCGCGCTGGAGTAATTGCTGCCAGGGGCTGTGCGAGACGCTCGCGGTACGCCTGACGCTCCCTAGAGCAAGCTGGGTTCGCAGCCCTCTCTCGGTCAGTGTTTACAGGTGTGCAAGAGGGCTTGAGGTTGAGATGCGCCCAAACGCCCACATCGGCAGAGCAACAAGGCCACATACGTGGAGAGGAGACAACGGAAGCTCCTTGATTTTCGCCAAATCCGCGGGTAGGCGGCGCGAGTCGCACCCCAAAGCCCATATGATCGCCTGTCCAGCTCGATGTGAGAGATTCTGAGCCAGAGCCCGATTTCTCAACGGCCAACTGTTCCATCGCGACGCGGGTTATAGATGCGGGAAATGGGTGAGGGGTGAGTGGGAACGCCCACCTGCAGCGCACGGGATTCTCCGCAGGAGCCTGGCCAGTGGACCGCCGCGGCTGCGCCCTCCGGACCAGCTCGAATACTGGGAGCAACCGCCCGGCTTTGCGAGGAGCGGCGCAAACTCTACAGGTCCAGCAGGGCAGCCACGTCGATTTTATGAGTGTGGAGTGGTGTGAGGCCGAGCACGGAGGGGAGTGCATTACTACGGGGCTGCCGGTTGGCCGCCTGGTTACACGGTGTTTTTCGCATCATACTCGTGCCGCTTCCTCCCACCAGCCAATGTACCCAGGACGCTCCCTCCTTTGCAAACGCGACTTTGCTGCGTTCCCGGCGTTGCGGGTGGTCCCTCGTTTCTCCTCGAGCTCCGCTACCGCCTCTGCAGCTGGGGAGCATGGGGAAGAAGGACCGCAGGCACAAGAGCCACAAACGGAGCCGCCGCGACTCGGACAGCGATTCGGATGGCCGAGGGTCGGGGAAGAGACCCAGAACGGAGAAGCTGGTGAGAGGCGGGACAGGTAGAACGCCAGGATGCAGAACGCCTGGGCGGCGAAATCGACGCAAACTGATCTCTGGGGGACAGACCTTGGCTGTCGGCATTCGCGTGCGCGTCGTTGTGTATGCGGGTGCATCAATCGAAGGCAGCAAAGCATTTCATATGCTCAACGCACAGACAGCCGCTAGATGGCTGCCTGCATCGCTGGCCCATTCAAGAGGCGTCTCTTTCAAGTTTCTGACTGCGTCGGTTCATGGTATCGGTGGAGAGAACATCCGCCATCTGGTGTTGCTTTGTCCCCTGAACGCACTTGAATCCAGTCAGCCCGCAGCTGAGCGGTCTGCACCTACCAAAGCCGTTGGAAAGGGCGCTAACTAAAGGGGATCGCCTGACATTGGGAGGTTCTGAATCCCATCGGGTATTGGGACAGGGAAATCTCACAGCAATACTTGCCAGCGACACACACTTGTGCCAAACTGGTGACCATGGAGCAAGCTAGACCCACAACAGGGAGATTGGGAGATATCCCAAGCAACCCTGCAAATTGGGTGTCGGATTTATGTGCCGACAATTAACGCCACTGAAACTGTGGCATGGTGCTCTCTGCGGGAAACGATGGACACCTTGATTCCACCTAAAGGTACCTTAGATCAGCTCGAATGATATGTTATGTCGTGGACCTGATGATGGGCGTTGACAGGCTTTGAATTCACAATTTGTTTGGAAGATCAATCTTGGCACACCACTGGTACATTTCATGCCTTGGAACCAATAAACAGAAGCGAATTATATAGCACTGGATCAGAATGGAAATCATAAAGTTCTTCATGTTGGCTCCAAGTGTATCTGTTTGGGAGGAATATCAAACTCATGTGCATTTGTGTGTGTGTACATTGATTGATATACCTGCAGGTGAAGAAGGTCACCAGACACCTGAAAAAGCACAAAACTAACGTTCCTGGCTACAGCAATGAAGACAACATGTTCAACGATCCAAACCTAACAGAAGGGTAAGATTTGTTTGTTGCCACCATTTTGCTTTGTCTCTTGTTAGGTGGCGTGGATCATTTTGTGAGCTCCATGCTATTGGTGTTCTGTCAGGATGGAGTTTTGGCCGAGGAATATGTGTTGTATGCTGCTGCAAAACATTTATGCAAGCAGCAAAATTTTTTCCATATCAGAGTTCTCAACGTGGCAAGTGCACATTAGAATGACGATCCATGGTCTTGAAGAATGTCTAATTCACAAGCCCTCTGCTGGGCACAATTTGGTGCCATGGGTTTGGCTTCACAAGAGAAATGCCTTGCCTGTTGGTTTTGTGCCAAATGCTGTGATCGCACACTGCAGATCAGCTAACTTTCTTCTGGGACTCACAAAACCTTGCTGGTGACCTTTTTATCCTGAAATACCAGAGCTGGGGTGAATGGGTCAGGTCTGGACGTACTTGCATGCCTGTTCAGGATAGACAAAAAAGACAAAACTGTTTTTCCAACTGCGCATCGGTGCACTGAAACATTCCAATGAGACATTGTGGAAAAGTTTGCAAACCCCAGTATGTCTGGCAGTGGATGCCAACACTGCAGGGCTGCCATTCCGCAACTGTATCTTTGCCATTGAACATCTTTGCCCTTGTACATCTCTGCTGGTTACCCCATCAACTGAAAGAATGTCAGAAAGAAAGAGCTACTGGTCTCTATGGTGAGTCTGCTCACTGTGTCAACGAGTGCATTCCCTCACGCATCTGATGGGAGTTTGTGACACCTGAGAGGATGTTTCATTCATGCTGCAGGTTTGTGTGGAAGAAGAAAATCGAAAAGCAAATCAATGAAGGTGTGCCTTTGTCGAATTTGAGTGCCAAAGTGGAGCGGATACGCCACAATGAAAGGCTGGTGAGTCAAAAGTGTTGGTGGTGGCATGCAAGTGTCTGTCCTGTCAGCTGAACACTGAATGTTCATCATGTGTTCTTCATTTAGTTCTGTTTGAAGCTTTCATGGGGGCTGGCATATGGCCTGTTGGGTGTTTCTATTGTTGCTGCCCAGTCTCGTATGCTGCAGACACTGTATGAGTTAGTAGAGGCATAAGAAAGGGGAATCCCAAGGCTCTGAGTTTGGGCTTGTTGTCAGCATGTTCCCATACTCACAGCAGTAGCAAGGCCCAGGCTTGCTTGGGTTGTCTTTCTGTATGCATACCTAATATGTGTGACAAAGGCAAAGTTTGGAACCAGCATTCTTGTGTCACTGCTGTATTTGCAACATGTGGACAGTTGCTCTTGAACATGGATTCTGGTATCCAAAGCACTTCAATTCTTGAAGTGGGGTATCTCTGCACTGCTATATGGTGCGCTGGCAGTCTGATGCCCCTCAGATTTGTTTGACTGCGTGTGAATGTTTAGAGCAATGGCTGACTGGGTCTGTGTGCAACTGCAGAAAGAAATAGACAAGGTGAAGAAAGCCAGGGAGGAGCGTGAGGCGGAGCTGGCAAGACAGCAAGAAGAACTGGTAAGTGTTAAATCTGTGAGTGCTTATTTTGCACCAGACACCAAAGGCATGCCAGCATGATGCTGTCACGACATTGGCTTGGTTCGTTTATTTCGTTTCCCCAATACCATTGACAGAGGAACCCTTGTGCCCAAGTGTGGCTACCCATATGTCGAGCTCAACTAGGAATGCGATGGGCAGCAAGCCACGATGCCATGTGCATGCAGTTGTGAATGAGGAGACGGCCAAGGTCAAACTGTTGTTCATTTTGTGGCGACCTGTTTCGTGGGCTTGATCAGTGTCGTCCATGTTCCATATCTGCAGTACTGGCCCTTTGTTGAGCCCAGTATTGTGCCAATGCACATAATTTAGCAAACATTCAGGCTGTGACTGCACCCCAATCATTTGTTGCACAAGGGGACCTTATCTCTTCCTGAAAGCTGGTACTTTTGGCAGTGTCCTTTCAGTGATGTGCTGGTAGCTTCTTGTTTTCCCACTTTTACCAGTCCTGGCAACAAGTGCAGAGGTTGAGGGTCATACCCCATTTGCCTCCCCACTGGAAAACGCAAGTGCATTCTCCAGATCGTAATTGCATTCATCTCACACCAATGTCTGCCAGCAAATAGTTCCATGAAGGGTGTGCTGCACTGATGTTTTCAGGCGGTCTTTTTGTGGTTGGTATGAAAAACTCCATGCAGGAACGATCCACAATCCAGTAAAGTGCTGCCACATGCCTGGGAGATACCATCTTCCCTATTTTGTGGGTTGTTATTGTTGTGTTGTTGCTGCCAGAGCCTTGTGGAGCGCGCTCGGTATGCTGCTGAAGCAACAGAAGCTGCTGCCAAAGAAGAAGAGTTCCTCTTTCAGCAAGCAATGATGAGCTGCAGGTATGAATATTCTCAGCCATTGTGGATCATTTGCAGAATCTCCTTGATTTGTCTGGTGTCAGTTGATGCCGGCTCCTACAAACCATTGGCCCCCTTCTTTCTGTAGGTGCAACTAATGTTCCTGTTGTGGAGCAGAATGAGGGTCAGATCTGGGAGGATGGAGCCCATCGACTTTGTTGCCAGAAACTTGGATCCTGAGCTTGCCATGGCGGCTAATCTTGCCAACGAGCCACCATACCTTATATTGAACAGGCTGAACCTGGAGGAAATGGAGAAGTTGATGGATAACATCAAGCAATTCAAGGTGATCAGCAGGACAGCTGTTGATAGGGGAACTGTAAATGGTGTCCAGTGAGATTCAATTCAAAGGAAGGCGTGGGGAAGGCTGTGTTGAGAAATTAGTGGTGGAGTGCAATGAATTGTGGGGATTTGGATCATTTGTTTCATTTGTTGGCCAGTGTGATAGCGGCGTTCAGTACCATAACTGTTTTTGTTTTGGTGGTGTCAATTAAAAGCCGGCATGGACACCAGCAGCGATTGGGTTTGGTGATCCATTGATATCTTTGATGATCTTGACTGCAGGTTTGCCTTTTTGCCTCAGACTGTAGTGGTTGCACCATGCAAATGTGCTGTGCAAGTGTGTGTAGTGTGGATCAATTCTCTCGTTGCTGGGTGCTGAGGGTAATAACGTCAATGGCCAAACATTTTGGAACTTGAAAGTTGTGCTGCTGGACGCACAGGAGATGGATCAGCATGACAGTGTACATGAAGAGTTCTGGGCCGCAATGCATGAGGTAGCGACACATGAACTGACTGTGGCAACACAGCAAGACATGATGGACAGGGCAAAGTTGAAAGGAGAGGTCCATGAGGGCGCTTTGAAAGCAGAAGAACTGCATGTTGAAAGTGAAGTTCAGAGCATGATGGCAGGTAAGGGATCGGAGGGCTCCAAGGGCTACACCAGCGAGTCATGGTACTCTAAATCTCCCTGTTGAAGGCTTCACATCAGTGAACCACGTCAGCTGCCTGGCTGTCTAGTTGGTTGCTATGCCAGTGCAGATGAGGCTCATGTCCTGCGTTGACCTGAACAGGAAATCTTGGGACTGGGCAGAAGAATAGTGCTGTTTTCCTGTTGTGAGGGGTGGTGAAAAGGGGCAGGAGAAGCGGCAGCAGCACTTTGTTCCTTGCACGACTCTGCCAAGTATGTCCACGCACACCGCAGTGCACTGTCTTCAAGCTGCACGGAGTTTGTTTTCTGCTGCCTGTTTAGTAAGGACTTTGCTGGGGGAAGCTCCGCCCTTGTGGTTCCCTGCGTGGTGACAATATTGTGGCTTTACAGGTAAGAGCTATTCAGAGCTGTGCGACTTGGAGCAAGAGCTGCTGAAGATGGTTGAGGGTGGTGAGGGTGGCGACCCAGAGTACTGGGAGCATGTCCTGTCACACCTGAAAGTGCACAAGGCACGTGCCAAGCTGAGGTCCCTTCAGCAGACTTTGATAGAGCAGCACATGACAAAGTTGGCAGAGATGGTCAAGAGCCAGCAGGAAGAGGAGGTGAAAGAGGCTGACGAGGTACAGTGCCTGAGGGCGATGCACATGGGAGCGCAACAAAGCTCAGGGTGCTCATGATGTTATCTTTCAGTGGCGTAGGGAGCGGGGTGGGGTGGGCCTTTTTCGAGGCAAGCCCCTCCTGACATTTTGTTTGCAGCAGGATATGTACAGCGAGGATTGATATCTGTGGGGCTTTCTACACGCTGCTCCAGTATTATTCTCACTCTCTTGTGCGATGGTTGGTCATAACCATTTCACACAAAGCTGTTTGCATGCAGGCTGAACCACACATCATCCCAGGGACATCTGCAGCAACGAATGAAGACCTAGAAACGATGGAGGCAGAGGCACAGGACCCTGTTGCATCCCGTTGGGGAGCCTATGTTGCATCCACTAGCACTGCTGCTCCTGATGCAGGGGAGCAGCTTGTGTTTGCTGACGATGGGAGGTACTCACCTGAGCCTGTCGATCCGGGGAGCATTATGGGTGAGGAAGTGGTTCCTGAGGAGGAAGATCGGAAAATTTTAAGGATGCTGAGGGAACAGGTGGGTGTGCTGATGTGGTTTGTGTCCTGCAGTTGGATGTGTCTTGATGCTTCTGTGATCAACGTCAGATGTGCATTTGGGCCCCATAATGCTGTCATGTGTTGCATGCAGCAATGTGAGGGGTGGGAATGCTGTGTGGATTGGAATCGTCTGCTTGCACTGAGGACCCATTCTATGGTTGTCTGCTGTGCACTCTACAGCTGTCATTGACAATTATGCTGGTGGGCCTGATGTGCTGCAGCTTGCAGCAGTTCAAGCAGTGCAGCTCAACCTGTGAACCTGGCAATGATTAATGTCGTGTTGCCAAGAATGCCACTGCCACACCGTAACAGTATAGATAAGCTGTCATGTGGTGACACATATGTGGTCATGTCTGATTATAAGCACACAGGCAGGCTATTCCATGACAGAGTTGAAACTGTGTGTGACTGCACAGTCGTATGCAGAGAGCTGATCTGATATTTCTGCTTATCCAGGTGCGTTTGATGTATTCGGACCATTTCCGTCAAGCTGCAGAGGCTGCAGCTGCAGCTGCAAGCCAGATGAGCGCATCGGACAGTGCCTATCAGGCCATGATCCTGGACCCCTCCAGGCATCCCTCTGGTGTCCATCCCATGCTGAGGCACATCACTGAAGCAGCCCCGCACGGGGACGATCCCTTGGCGTTCAGATCTGGAATCGCCCCTCCTGTGGAGGATGAGGACCCAGCGATGCAGCGCCTGAGGGCTGAAGCCATGAGGAGGATGGGCGAGGACAGGGGGGACCAGCCCTTTGGTGGAGAGGTCCGCCTGGAGAGCAGGGTGTATTGGTGGCATGAGAAGTACCGCCCAAGGAAGCCAAAGTATTTTAACAGGTGTGTGCATCGGCTGTTCTCGCAGACACACGTTCACGTTTCTTTGACACATTTTGATGCACATTGGATGTACAATGAAACATGTGCACTCATCTGCAAGCAAGAGAAGAATATGTTCACTGTGCTAACTTCTGCTGTTCTTTCTATGCAAATCCAACCTGCTGTTGGCTTGGCACTCTACACAGCAATGAGTCATATGTAACACTGGTGCATCATCGATCCACCACTGTTACATGTTGTTCGAATTGGATGGGATTATGTCCCTGAGTAAACTGTTGATCAGCACACAAGGTACTGAGGCTGGCTTAACTTGAAAAAGAAAGTGACACACCAGTGTTGCAAGATATGCGTTGTACCAATGCTCTCTATTGGCCGCAACGGAGCTTGCCGCAAACTGGCATTTGCTGGGCGTTCTCCCATCGGAAGGATTGTTTGAGTTCTCATCAGCCAAACTCACAGACAGCTCTGTCCCATGGATATTTCTTTAATTTGGGCTTGGTCACCATCAATGTTGTCAATTTTAGCTTCTCAGCCATAAGATTTCGCCCAAGTGTCGCCTGACTTTCATCTCAACGCTGCTCGATGGTGCTCCCAGGGTCCACACGGGCTACGAATGGAACAAGTACAACCAGACGCACTACGACCACGACAACCCTCCTCCCAAGGTTGTCCAGGGCTACAAGTTCAACATCTTCTACCCCGACCTGATGGACAAGAGTCTTGCCCCAACATACACTCTGGAAAAGGACACTCAGTCGAAGGATGGGTCGACGTGCTTGTTGAGATTCAAGGCAGGTCCCCCTTATGAGGACATCGCGTTCAGGATCGTCAACAAGGACTGGGAGTACAGCCACAAGAAGGGCTTCAAGTGCACTTTTGAGCGAGGCATCCTTCATCTCTACTTCAACTTCAAGCGGCAAAGGTATCGAAGATGACAGGTTCGCAACACAGTGGAGACCAGAAATAGTATTGCGCAAGAACGGGTGCGCCGATCTTGGGAGCCACAGTTTTGGATTGTTGATGAGGGGCCCTGCTTTGTGGCTTAGGGTGTTTGGGGCTCTGCAGGATCGCCGACTGCTTCCATGGCCTTTTTTCAATAAGCGGATGGAAAGTCTAACCTGCTGTCAGGTCCCCCCCAGGGTGTGGCCCATTGTGCTGTGGCACCATTGTTTCTGGTTGAGCCGAGGGGCGATTACTTGGGGTTCGCGAAGGGACATCCCACCATTCTCGGGGTTAATCTTTGATGCCGTTCATTATTGATTGTCGTGGGGTGCCAGCCTTCAGACAGGGCACGTGACAATTGTTCAGAAGTGGCCTTGAGAAAACAGCATGCCGTCTTTGTGCAGGCATGCATCGTGTGTGTGCTCGTGTAACGGGTGATTGTGTTACCATATATCTGCGTCTACAGGAGAGTGCACACCATACTGGGAGTGCTGCACATCGTAAGACTTGTCCGATGACAACGAAAGGAAAGAGGTGATATAAATCAGCTCTTTCCTTGCGGTGCCATGCAGCAGCCCCTCAAACCAACTTTTGAACTTTTTTACATTTTTTTCTTTGGTCTTTTAGCCACGCTGCCATCAAATCGAGACGTCATTCGATTTTGTTCGAGTCCTCGTATGTGTGCCGACACATACTATTATCGCGAATATTCCTTTGCAGCACGTTCAGGCCAGTGACCAGGCCGCCTTTCCTGGTCTGAATACCCTTCCCGTGCGCTGAAGCTCATTTCAGCCCAAGCGGTGGGAATTCGCAGATCCCCTGCATGCAGATGTGGTTGATTCTGTGGCCAGATGACCGCACTTTGAACGGCTCTTCTTCCACGACTGTGAACTCCACTGCCATTGGTTTCTTCACTGCGTGCAGCACGCTCGAGTCGCACTTGCCATACTTCATCTGCAGCCCTTGCTGGTTGTCCACTACCAACGCACAGTCGTCTGAAAAGCCCAGCTCGGCTTTGCCACGAAAACCTTCTTCCCAGGACACTCCCACCGTGTACGCAGACTCAGACACATGGCTCAATTCCACGTAGTCCACTCTGGCCTGTCTAGGACCACTGGCTATGAGACATTGGGGGCACAGCTGAACGGGGTGGGTGCACGCCAGCAGGAACTTGGCCGAGTGCGCGTCGGTGACAGTGCCTGTCTGGCCTCGGTATCCCATTTCCAGCGGATAGAGGTCGCACTGCGGCGGCTTGCAGAACTGAAACATGTCCCAGACTTCCGGGTGCCCACACTTCACTTTGTGGTACCATTTCACGTCCACCGAGGCGCGCGCCTCGATCTCTGCGTGCAGCGAGTGATAGGAGTCTCCGACGTACACCAAACAGGAGAAGATGAGGCCGTTCTCCAGCTCTTCCTCAAGGTGTGCGGCTCCCAGATGGCCGCCCGCAGAGCATGAGTAATGCACGTCAAGTGCCTCCCGCAGTTTGGGATCGTAGTCGCCGTACTCCACTAGTACCTTGGCCTCCACCTGCGTCTCCCACGGGTCGCTCTTGGCCGGCATTGCCTCCATGATTCGGACTTCCAGCCTCTTCACGAGGCAGTCGTCGGGCACGGGTTTAACCGGCTTCGCGGGCGGTGGTCGCACGCAGAATTTGAGGTCTCTCCTGGCGTCCCTCTGGCACATGACCTGCCCGTCCGCGCCGCGGATGCGCACACCCGCCTCAACCAAAATCACGTTGTCTTCGCAGTCGTCCGGGTGGTCCATGGCGACAGTGCAGTTGGCCAGGAAACCGCGACCCGCGTCGTCGGGGACCAAGGGGCCCAGGGAGCCCACCCGTTCCCTCAACGAGCACTCCACTTGGAATTCCGCGCTGTCAGTGAGCTCCGGCGGGTCCACACTGCCGTACAGCATGAACAGCTCGACGTCCAGCTGCCCGTCTCCGCGGTCGTGGACCTGGACGAAGTCGACGTTGTGGTCGCCGATGACGCAGGTGGAGGGCCGGGGCGCCTGGGGCGGTCTCTGCTCGCAGTACCGAAACTGCGCCACCGCCTGCCGGTCGCAGCCCAGGGCGCCTTCCCAGGGAGGGATCGCCACGGACCCAACCGCGTGGATCACGTTGGCATCGCAGTCGTGGACGTCGTCCACTTCAGCGATGCACTTCAGGCTGGACCTGCCGTCCAGGCCGCCCTGCAGGTCGGTGAGCTGTCCCGGCCTGCCGCCCACGTCGCAGGAGATGTTCAGCACGGCGGCATCGGCCGGCGGCTCGGGGGCCACGCCCGCGAAGATGATCGACAGGTCGGCCTCCACGCGCGCCGGCGCGCCGGCCACGGACCTAGCCTCGCCGAACTCGATGTTGAAGTCCCTTATGGTGCAGGGGGCGGGCGGCGGCGGTGGGGCGACCACTGGCGCTCCGTCCACCGTCAGCACTCCCCGGCAGTAGTTGCCTGACAGGGACAACTCCGTCATGCACGGAGGCGACCCCGGCGTCCCGGGCTCGGCGACGACGCCCGCCACCGTCACCACGTTCCACACGCAGTCGTCGTCGTTGTTCACCTTCAAGCTGCAGTCCGCCCGAAAGCCGCCGTCCACCTTTCGGTAGTTGCCAGTGACCCCCGCGCGGAGGAGACCCGTCTCCTGGGCGCCGACCGTGCAGTTGGCGTCGAAGACGGCGCCGTCCTGGACTCGTACCTGCGGCGCTTGGATCGTCACTGGGAAGGTCACCGACAGGGGGTCGTCGGGATCCGCACTCGGGCTTCCGAACTGGAGCGAGAAGGGACCCGTGCCGCAGGCCGCAGGCACTTCCTGGGTAGCGGGCGGGAGAGTTGGCGCGGGCGGCTGCGCGGATGTGGCCGGTGTCTGGTTCTCTGGAAGGGGGGGAACGGCGGGGGTCAATGCTCCCCGGCAGTACCTGGCAGGGACGAAAGAGGAAGGGCATACATGCGTCTGAGGTCGACGGCAATCCCCATGGATAGAAACCGGCGCGTTGGCAATGTTTCGAGACGACGTTGACAAGATTCGGGGCGGCATTTGAGATTCGCGAACATTTGAAAACGGCAGTGTCAATGGATGCGCTGGTCCTGCGATGTGCAATGGATGCTCTCCCGCCGGGCGATTTCAGCACAGTCTCAATACACAAAATGACGATCTCAACTGGCACCCACCTCGCCGACCGGGTGGCCTTGCGCTGGCAACCCAGTGCGCCTTCCACAGAAGGTATTTCGGCGGTGCCCTCCACAGATACCACGTTGAACTCACAGCTCGTGTCATCGCTGACGCTGATCTCACACTCTCCCAGCAGCCCCCTCTCCGTCCTCCTGTAGCCTCTGACCACACCAAAGCGCGGACGTCCGTCTGGGGACGTCGCGGAGCACCTGAAGTCGACCCTGACCGCGTGCTCCGCCCCCCGCGGTGTAATGCCATCGAGCAAGATGAACATGGGGAGGGTTACTCGCCGGCGGTCTTGTGGATCCGGACGGGGCTCCAGGAAGTCGACATTGAAGTCCTCTATCTCGCAGCTGCCAAGGGAGCTTGAATGAGCGGGGGGCGCCGAGACCGTCTGGTGGCCCGAAGAGGCATTGGAAGACGATGAACTGAACGACGACGACGTGGCAGATGACGAAGACGAACCGCTCGAAGAAGATGAGCCACTGGGAGATCGTGCTTCGGAGGCTGTGAGTGGTCCTGAAGCCGCCAGCAGTGGGTTGCTGTCGCACGCAGGCACTTGCACGGCAGCCTCCCTGCGGCACATCACCTCGCCAGATCTTCCGTCCAGGGCTATCAGGGAAGCGGAGACAGTCACGAGGTTGCGGGCGCAGTCTTTCGGATTGCTGACGACGACGCCGCAGGAGAATTCAAACCCCTGGGCAACCCTGATTGGCGGGCTAGCCGCACCCTGCCGATTGTCAATACTGCACGAATACTGAAGAGCTACGTTTGGGGCGAACGCGGCCCTCTCGAAAAGCACAAAGGGGGCGAAGAAATGAGCCATCAGCCTTCGTGGATCGCCGCCATCCCGTCGCAATCCAACAGGGTTGATGTTGAAGTCACGAATGTCGCAGTGGGCTGCTTGTGACAGAGATCGTCTCACTGAATGATGGTGCGATGCGTTGGCATCTCCACCACCGAATGCACCGGCCTGACCATGGCGCTCACCAAATTCGAGTGTTCCCGGCCCTGCAATGTGAGCGTCGGAATTGCTGTTGTTGGGGCCGAACGTCTCCCAGACAATCTCAATAGCCCCATCACGCGCTTCTTCTGCAATGATGGCCTCCTCGGGGCCCAGCTCGCCCAGCACCACCCGCGATTCTGGGCACGTCGGCAAGCTCGACAAAGGCGTGGGTGACCTGTCTGTCTCGTTGGCCCTCTTGACGAGGATGTGCGGCGTCGCGTTTGAACCGGGCGGCCGCTTATATTCCAGGGAGAGTACTTCTCCAATGGTGTAACGGACCTCGAAACTATCCGATACTACAGCGACAATGTTCTGGTGAACGCGGACCTGCGGAGAAGCATCAAAGAGTTTAAGACAGCACCACCGAGAATCCTCTGTGAGCACGATCAATGACGGACCGGACCTTATCCCCGAGAAGGACAAATACACACGCAAAAACTGTCAGGATCAGGGGACACAGGAACGGCATGCCTTCGCTTTATGCGCATGCTTTGCTGCCGTCATGAACAACATCTTCATTCAAGCATATACGTACGTAGATTCGAATAGAGATCACTTTGAAAACAATGAATCGAATCAAAGGCACGACACGCAGGCGTACATCACGGGCTCGACGCATTTCTTGGAGGTTGATGAAAAGTTGCTAGGTGTGCTTTATGCCGAAAGGGAAAACCCATAAGCAGTGAGAAGGCTGATTTTGTGTGCACTGGTAAAAATTCGACAATTTTGCACGGTGTACAATCGTGTGAAATCGTGTTGAAATCGTGTAAAAATCGGGTGCTTAGGAGCATGATTTTTCGCGATTGCTATAATCGTGGTTTT